TCAACTCTAAACCCCGCCCACTTAAAACAATTCATATAGAAAAACAGCGATCCGTTAAAATCGCTATTTTCTATATGAATTGTTTATTAAGTGGGCGGGGTTTAGAGTTGAGGGGCGGAGCTTCTTTTCAACTTCTTCTTCGAAGTTTAATTTATCCATCCATCAAGTTAGAGGGTGACTGCATTCAATTTCAATTTCATTCCAATTCATTCCTCACCGGTAGTTTCAACCGCTCTTATCTATGGAATTTTAGGGTACTTATAGGGCGGAAAGAAGAGCTGGAGACTGGATCGGGAACCTTATGAATGGCCGTTATGATGGGCTTTTTCCAAGCGGAAGAAACTTCGCTAAACATTAGTGATGCGATCATAACTGTGCATAGTGGTTTGCAGAAAGATGACGCTTGCGATAAACAATCTGTGGAATGCCATCAAACGGCAGCGACGTTGAAGTTTTGAGAGACTTCAAAGCTCTATAAACTTTTTGGGTAGTTATAGTAACCTGTGTGAAAGGGAAACAATTAACAAGAGCGCGTTCAAAGTTATCTTCACAATCATTAACCGTCCGAGTATTATAGACCGATTTGAAAAATATAGCAAGTGGCTCGGCTTTCTGAGTGTCGTAAAAAATGAACACCAGTATCATCACGGATTACTGGAACATTTGCTTTCGGTCTCATTCTGTACTTGAAAATGGAAAAGAAAGCCTTTTTGTGTTTATTAGTTACGTCTCGCCTTTCCCCAGTAGCTAGAAATCTCTTTAGATGGCGGTCCAGTTAAGCACAGATTCTCCTGTAACGAAAGCACGTCGAAGGAGAAGCTTGCATAGCACTGTAGAAACGCGCCTTCTGAGCCATCAAGTTGCTTATGTGCCTAGGATAGCGTATTCTTGGTATATACACAGTCGAGAAAGGTACATACGAAGCAAATCCTGCTTACAAAATACGACAGAAACGTTTGTAAAGGTCATCCACAGAAGCTTATCCTTCATAAGCTTCCCACCAATCAATTTAAACGAAGTATTGCGAAAGGGAGTCGAAATCAGCTTTTGCAAAGTCTGGCACAGGGAGCGGTTCAAACGTGTGTACTGAAAGCAAACAACAGAGCGGTCAGAAGCGGCAAGTGATGGCAGCACATATAGCTTGTCTATAATTGGAGCGTTCGCCAATACCAGATCAAGAATTGAGTAGCCTCGTGTAGGAATGCACGTATTGTACCCACTCACTAAATTTGAACAGTTCCAGAAATTTCAAGGATCTAGGATTCTTAGCTTTTTCGCATAGCCAGTCTATATCAAGATTTAAATCACCGAGCACAATCAGACGCTTATCCAAGAGGAAAGCTCTAACAAAGAGCCAATCAGAACGTCGTCTTCTTCCGGACGACAGTTGGGCGGGCGATATATTAAAATTACTCTAAACATTAGTGCAGATGCTGTATCGAACCCTTCTAGGCAAAGAAGTTCCGACTTGAGGCAAGGAGTGGGGATAGCTACACAACCAATGTTTTCTTTGGCAAGGCAGCACACCCCCACCACCTCTGCGTCCTCTACTGTTAACTCGGTGAACGTTATGAGGGCGGCTACAAACAACTTCTGCATCAGATATTTTGAGGACAACCAGGTCTCAGTAATGAAAACCAGGTTAGGGTTGTTCGTATCTAAAAATAAGTGGGGGTAGGTAGTTTATTGGACAGACTTCTGGAATTAAAGAGGAAACATTTGATCCCGGTAGGTGTTCCATGTCGAATCAGACGTTTCCCGACGTTCTCGATTTGGGGAGTTCGACAGCACGTCCTAACTCGCCACTGTACACTACCCACACCCTACTGTTCAGCTGTTTATTTCTCTCTCTGCACTCCTGCCGCAGTCAGAACTCATGATTGCGCTCTTCCGGAGTTAAACTCTTACGTATATAAACATTAGATAACCCGGAATTGTGCAGGTGATAACTATTGGAGAGTGCACTGGCCCAATGACTTTTAGAAGGTAATACCAACTTTATTCAGCGTGGATGAGTACCACCAGGTCTTCCCATACGCTATACCTCCATGAGCCTGCACTCAACACCAAGGACATTTAGAACTTCAGATACCTTACCTTCCACCTCTTTTTGCCTGCCTGAAGGGGGAACGTATGGTGCGGGCTTTGGAATGCCAAAGATGACCAGACTTCGGCCCCGTTTGTCCGCCTCCACAGCATCAGCAATCGTTTGCGGCAATTTGGCAACTAGAGCATTAATATACTTGCCCATGACAGGATCTTTGAGCTCTCCGTTTCTCTCCATCATTGCGCTAACGATTTGACTCATGGACATACAAGCAGTATCAGAATCGGACGGCCCGATACCCACTGAACTATTGGTGGCAGTGTTTTTGACATTGCTGCCAACACTCTGACCTGCGCGTGATCGGTTCCTTGACGTTGCTAATAACACCAGAAATCGGCAAAGAAAATAAATGCCCAAACTTATCCGCTATTACCAGCCTTAGAAGGCTCCACAGTCCCAAATTCAAGTTCGCTTAAAGGATAAATATCTATATGAATACCATTTGCTGTAGAATGAATAATAACATATAATAAATATATCAGACCAGTTCAAATATCGATATAAAGTGGAAGAATATCGACCGCTCAGAACAACGACAGGCGAAAGTTTTGATATCATCATTTTGTAGTCAGTCAGATTTTGCGCCAAATAGGATTTGTTGAGCTTACGAGAAATAACAAGGGTAGCTCTCAGATGAGGAGTAAGCATGAATGAGGTTTTAACTGACTTGTTTCAACTGGAATATTAAGCATTAGTCTTCAAAGCGGAGGTGGCCTTTCAATAGCATTTGCTTCATTTGTATATAGTTTGCACCCTTGTTGAGATTTAGATCTTTCTTTGTTTTCAGTTCTGCTAGTTCCCTAACAAAGTTTGAATATTAATAACTTATGAAATGTAAATCCTTTTTGGCAAATGCGGTTGTAATATTATGGGACACGAATCGGTTTGATGAGAAGTGACTCGGCTAATGGCTTCCCTGGTGTTGTGCTGTTGCTTAAGCAGCCCAAGTAAGTATGAAGCGACCTTCAACAACTATCACCACAGTGGGCAAACATTAAAGTCGGTGCGAGCGATTTCGTAAAAAGAGAAATTAACTGGAGGTTGATGGAGCCCAATCATGGGAACGATGACGGCTATTCAGTACCTAGGCCCAAATAAGGGCGCGAGTTTCGAACCGAGTCACATGCGAGTGACCGGCAAAGAGCCATATCTATGACCATACCTAAAGTTGGGCCATCTTCTGTGCCCTCACTAGTTCTATTGGCCAAGTGCCGATCTCGCTTTTCTCGCACCCTTCCCCAGAAATGCTCACGAGATGAGCACAATTCGAGGCTCACGTGAAGATTTCTGAAAAGTTTCTAAGTAGAATTTATGAGTTCCCAACAGGTTCTGGGTCATAGAGTGTATGATGGTGCTTCCGCTAGGTTAATGGACACATCCATCGCTATAGTTATTTGATTGCTCGAATTGAATATGATCGTTTCAGTCAGATTTGACCGGAATATTCTATCGAAGTCATTCGTTCTATCCGTATTTCATCACGCTATGGGAGCACTATCACAAAGCCAGATTCATAGTTTGTTCACAACCTTTACAGTCGTTATCCTTATTCTTTTCTGATCAAAACCATTCAGATTGAATCAGAAAAGCCTGAGTCCGTAGAAAAAAGGCCCAAAAGCGCCTTTGTTGGAAGTACGTTTTTAATTTCCGAAATAACTCCTTTGCCGAAAGTATTAAGTTGATCGAAAAGTTTTGATAGGGTTAAGATATTTATGTTTTATTTTACAACTAAGCAAACAATGCAAGCTAATCAACAACATAAAAGCCATCGTTTGTTATAATATTGCCCCACCTAAAGGGCGATTCAATCAGCGATTCTCTTTTCCCAGAACTGGCAAGATTGGATGTCAAAGAAGTCATCGACCAATTGTTCAAGGCAATTGAGTTGACGAATTGTTTTTTGCTAGGAAAGCCTCGAGGTGCCGGAACAAGGGGTAATTTGAGGGAGCAAGCTCAGCACTGAAATTTTGCACAGGTTTATTTGCCTATGTGAGGAGCCTGTCATGGAGGAGGAGCACCGAAGTTCGTCTAGGCAGTTTTTCTCAAACGGATTGCGTAAGTTTCTGCAGCTGACCAGTGTAACAGGGAGCGGTGACGGTATGGCCTTCCATGAGCAATTCGTAGTACAGCTTTCCTCTTGAATCCAAAATGCAGCAAAGGAGAAACCTCTTAGGGTGGAAGCCACTTTTGGCTTGCGTTCTACTCTCGCGGGAATCAGACGACGCGCTGCTTGTTAACATCGTAGAGGATCCAGCTTTCACCTCCAGTAACTGGGTCCCCCAGAAACTCCTTTGCGATGTGGGCGAAGAAGGAGGGGCTGACAAATGGACACCCAGGTGTACCGCATGCTATCGGTCAAGACATGATATATGCATGGAGCCAGCGCTTTTCTGTAACCGAGGGCCTGAAGGCGATCGATGACTGTTGATTGGGCACATCCAAGTCTCGTCGCAAGACTGCGAGTGTTAACTTCCAGATCCTCTTTGACGGTGTGAAGAATGACGAAGTCGTCGACGAAGAGGAGTGCCCAGACCGATGCTTGTCTTCGAAACCCGTGCCTCCTTCCTTAAAGCGAGCGAACCAGCGGTGAACGGTACCGATGGAAGTGGTGTCCTACTCCAATGCGCTGTTGATGTTGTGGACTGTTGCGGTCGCTCGAGTGCCGCGGCGTCACTCATAGAAGACGATTGCTCGAAGTTAGCCTTGCGAAATGGACATCGTGTTCAAAATTAGGTAGACGCACGCGTCCTTATATACCTCTTGCGAAGCAGCTACCAAAATGTTCTACAAATATCACATGATAGATAATGGATATAGGTCAGTAATCGAAAATCCCGCACTTCTCAAAAATCCTTATAAAGACTTTTCGATCAACTAATAAATGCGGGGCCCTGGAATTTGCTTAGATTTTCACTGACACTTTATTTCAACATCATTTTACGATCCTTTTTCGTTCATATCTGATAAATGAGTAGAATAAGTTTTTGAATGTTTTTAAACGTATTCAAGCTCGAACAAGCGCGCTTTCCATGAATGCGTAGCTCCCGAGGCTTTCTCAGCAACAGTTACAGTTCGTTGACAGCTTCTTTTGCAAAGTTACCTTCGTGATATCTAGAAACGATAGTCCCAGGAAAAACTCATCAACCCAGCTCATAATCGCTTATCACCTGAATTCCTCTCGGGCTATCATAGTTTTCAGTAAAAACAAAAAGACGAATGTATTGATCAATAAAACTTGAATTCAGCAAGATTCAACTGAATTACACTTCGTCAACTCAGCTAACCAATCAGCCATTGTTCAGGCAAGCTGAATTGTACTGTGGAACAACGGCTGTTGAGGAGGAAGTATCAGAAAGAAGTGGCCCCTGCCCGTATGTGGAGCCCTATTAAAGATAATTTTATTCTGTGGGGAAAGATGAAAGCGAATCAGAAGTTTTTAGGTTGTGAGAAGCTCAATTTGTACAAGTATTACGATTGCGAGCCCAAGGATCTGACTGTTATCAATCCACATACACCGCAAATTGAGCCTCCTCGTAGGTTTACTCTCCATGTTCGTAATTCTGGGATTCCACTTGGATAGCCGTCATTTGCTGTTCGGCTTGAATTCACCTACAGCTCAGGTGTCCGGAAAGTGGCATACCATAGCAATGAAAGTTAATCATCTGCCATGGAATCCCAAAAACTTCTCTGCTTGATTGAATAAGTAATTGAATATTATAATTCAGCTGAATCAAATAATACTTCAAGTTATTTCCTCAGTATGGAAATAATAATATTTTTATTATCATTTAAGAGTATTAAAGAAAATGGATAAAGTCTCTTGGCTTAGATCAATCCTTATTTGGGGATGCGCCAAAGTATTCGCCTTCCATTCAGAATTGTAGTGGTGTATTGAATGCGTGTGTTCACAATGACTTAACGGTGAGCAGCCGTCAATTCAGTGCTTTATACCTCCAGCCGGGACTGGTACCAATTCTCTGACTCACTTTTGATGAAAACTTGGTCGGTCATTCAAGCTGGTATCGAGCCGGGATTCGATCTCTGGTCTATGGGAGTGGGTGTGATAGTGTTCGCCGTTTGTCACTATACCACGAGCAAGTGAAAGCAGAAATGAAGAAATGTCCTAATGTGCTCCATGCATACGGAATCATTCAGTGGTGAGATGTGGGCCCATCTATCGCTGCCTTTACCATTGAATTTTCAGATTTGGACGACACCTATGTAAGATTTGACATGCCCTTTTTCTTCATGGTTACAAAAGAAGGCCCATTCGGCAGGATTGTACAGTGTATAGGTCGATTTGTAAGTGAATCAGGCTTTTCTTACCTTTTCTGCTTGTAGTTCAGGGTGTTGTTTTCAGAATAATGTCTCCGCTGTTCATAGAAGTACTGGTAAATCAAGCTCTGTGGATGTGTAGGGAGGGATCTTGAAAACGTTCCCAAACGAGTAGACAATTTATCTCGACTAAGTGATTTTCATTCAAGATGAGAACTAGTTATCATAGATTTTTTTAAAACTTTTGCGGTGATGCTCGTTCTGTGACCTTCGGTTTGACGTCGAAATAAATTTCTTAACAAGGACGCTTTATCTGTTCTTGAAAGGCTTTTTATCAGGAATTGCGCGATTGCCCAAACTGGTGACTTCCGAAAGATAAGGACAGGGGCGTCATGGAGTGTATAGATGCCATTCAGATTGATAAAGATGTTTGAACATGCGTACGGAAGGACTCGACTTTTTTGGAACAATGGCTCTGAACTTGGTTTGCTGGTATCGGCGAGTACTACCCTAGCAACGAATGGATTAAACTTGCCTGAAACTCTATGAGTACTGCCCTGGCACAGTTCCATATTCATTGCGCCATACAAGTGTAACACTGAATGACCTGGGGAAAATGTGAGCTCTTAGAAGAGCTGGGCAGAACTACTCAAAAAAAAAACCGTGAAAGCCACAAATGGCTCATTTGGTCGGGAAAATTAAGGGTTATCACATGTTTCTATATCAGATGTTTCTTAGCTTCTATAATAAGTTGCCATTTGTCTTTACAACTTCCATAATAGCATTTGGATTGGAGAGCCACTGTTCCTTGGTTTGTACCCTTACCTGAATTATGAGGACTATGACAGTAAGAGGATGAATCCTTAATAGAAAACTTGGTTTCTCGACAGAAAAATTTCCAAAATCTTTTCTTTCATTAGTTTTATCACCGTGCAGGATGAAGAATTCCTACAAATTCGTATTATAACTCTCTGTTAATGGTAGAAAAAGCAGTCTTATTCTTCCTTCGATAAAAGTATTCTGAAAGTAATAAGTCAGTAACTCAGATGGTTTTGCTCGTCACGAGTCTGAACACCTTTATGCACAACTCTTCAATTTAGATGTTCTGGCTCGTGATGAGATGAATTAGAATTTCTCCTCGCTGAATGATTTCGTTGAGTTTGAGAAATTGTATCAGATCTACTTGACGTCGAAATAGGAAAAATCGTCTGACGGGAATTCACACCTGTCTTTCTTCTCCCATATACTTTCTTTCCTTAGCGGGTGATTCCGTTGCATGGTTCTGGCAGGGTACGAACTGGAGCTACGTCGCGAGAGTCTGGGGAGGGACAAAAGTTGTATAGAAGGGGACTGTGGTATGGGGGTATGGCCGAGTTGAAGCCGAGGTGTTTGACAATTTCCATAGATTTCAAGTGCTTACACTTTACTCATAGAAAGGTCTCGAGTGTAGTCTGTTCTCTGAAATTAATTGCTGCATACATAGCACTCACCCCTAAGAAAAATAGTTGTTAATAACATCTCATCACGATGCTGAATATAGCCTGAAGTTAGTTTTTGCAGTGTTGAAAAAGAGTTGGATGTCGTGACTAATTAGCCGAAGAGCTTTCAATAGCCTTTTGAAGACGAGCCGCCCCATTATTCATCAATTACGTTGACACTGTTAAGAACGTTCGATAATAAGGAAGACAGAAAATTTAAAAAAAAGCACCAGGAGAATATTTAACAGCTTTTTCACATTTTACAAAATTTTGAGTTACGAGTTTATCGAAGTTTTTTATTCTGGTGAAAAAAACTCTCCCACCCAGGGACGTTGAAAATTTTCTCTCAAAAAAACCTAATTTTCTATTGAAGGTTTCCTTCCTTACTGTCATCATTCTCATAGTAAGGGTTATGTACGACTGAGGTCAGGCACATAGTCAAGACAAGGTTAATTAAGTGGTGAGATCACTTCGCAAGTTGCAAGTTCACACACCCACTACTCTTTG